GAACTTTGGTAGGAATGGGTTGATCAAGTAAGGTAGCATATTCTTTGTTTTTGTAAAAAAATATAGTATTAAAGGTTGGATAGATCTATATTTCATCATCTTGAAGAGGAAATGTTAAGTAAGATTTGCTTAATTTATCATTAAAGAGTTTGGTACTGTCATAGAATTTTTTATCATCAAGGTATAAATATAATTTGTTGTCACAAATAAGGCAATAAAAGTTAGCAACACAAGATGCTTCTTCATGTTATTCATGAAGAGAATTAGATTTTTTGAAAATATAAAATTCAGTAAAATGTTTGAAAAGTTATAAGATGAAGTGTTGATGAAATTGAATTCTAAGGAATGTACAGACTTTTCTTTATCAATACTAGAAGAGAATTGTTAACTATAAGGAGAATAATAAGTTTCAAACCAAGAATTGAAATGATAAAATAAGTTTTTGAAAGAGAAAATACAAAATCTTTCAAGAAATAGTGTTTTAAAAATATTAAAGAAGAGTTTGATATTGAACCTAGTATTTGACTGAATAGTAAGATATTTTTAATTAAGATTAGTAATTTGAATAAAAGATTAAATATTGAATCTTTTAGGTCTGAGTTGTAAATCTTTAACAAATTTTTGGTAGTCAATTGATTAGTATTTATTGAATAATAAGAGATGAAATCATGCAAAATTAAGACAGATTTGAAGATGATTATAAACAATATATGAAGAGATTGTAACTAATAAAACAAAGATTTCAAAATAGTTAAGTTTTATAAAAAGAACAGTTGTAAATTTAAGAAGTAGGTTTTTGAAAATAAATTCAAGAAAATCAAAAGAAATAGTAGTATTTTTATCAATATTAGAATTACTACTATAAATGAGATCAGTTAAGAATTTTAATTATTGTTCAACAATAATACAGATAATATAATAAAATGAAGCCTTAAGTGTAAGTTAAATAAAAGTAATAGACTTGATTTCTTTATCAAAATAAAAATTATAAAGAAATTTTTTAAGAAAAATAAAGAATTAGAGAGAAAAAATAATTTATAATTTTTTATTAAATTGTATTTTTTTTAGTAATTAGAAAATTTGTAAACCAATCATATATAAGATTAGATTTTGGTTTAATAACACTAGAATAGATTTGAAAAGAAGATTTGTTAGAAATACTATCAAGTGGATTAGTATTATTATAATTATTAAGATTTAAGTTAACATTATCAAAAATATTAGTAATAGAAGGTTGGTTAGAGATAGATTAGTATTAATAGTTGTATTAAAGAGAAATTGATAAAATCAGAAAAAGTTGAGATTTGATGAGAAGAGATAATAAAAGAATTGGTAATTTGAGAGAATTTATGTAGGATGTTTTGAAAGATTTGAGTAAGATTTTTTTAGTTTAAGATGAATTAGTTTCATGTTGAGATGAGACAGTTATGCAAATAAGATAATAGACTTTATTATTTTTAATAACATATTTTTAATTAGAATAATAATAATTATTTCTCTTGGTACAAACAATTAGAAGAGAACATTTAGACAAGTATGATAATATATATTGGGAATAGAAAATAAAGAAATATTATCAGTTGAGAAGGAAAGATTAGTTAGAAGTTATTAAACTGGTTTGTTAAAATTCTTTTTTGCATTATTGTTAATATAGACTGTAGTAAATTTAGTAACTTAAATATGGATACTGTTAGTAATTAAGATAAATTTAATATGATATTTACTACAAAGACAAGCAATCACAGAGATAAAAATAGGAGTTTGAAAAAAATAAATAATTTTATTATTTCTGAAATTTTTAATTAGACAAGTGGTTGATTTAACTTTAGAAGGAATTGGATAAGTGTTGTTATCATTTTCTTCTTTATAAAAAGTAATTCTAAAATTGTTAGAAAAGTTTGGTAAAAATAATCAAAATCTGTAATATCAGACTCTTGATTGCTTAATATAAGTATTTTTAAGTTTGTTATAAATTAAATAAGTATTATATTAAAAACTTAGAAAGATTTCTAATAATTAAATAATTGATTTTATAAAAATAAGAGATGGGGACAAAGGTTATATAATTGAGATGATATAAAAGTAATACTGGTATGTGACTAGAATAATTGGAATCATAAATATGATTCAAGTACTGGTATAAATAGAGTTTGTAATACAAATTGTTATGTACAATTAATAAGAACTAAATATGAAAATAATTGATTGAGTTCAATGAATTTCTATTAATAGATTGGTTACAGAATTTTGATATAAATTAATAAAATATATATTGAGAAATGATAGTATGATTATATGAAAACTATATAAGAGAAAAAAAGAATAAGGTAAGGACAAAAGGTATAAAAAGAATTTTATAAGAGAATAAAAGATGAATTTAGTTATAATTTGATCAATATTGAGTCAAAATTCTTCTTTTAGAGCTTGTTTTGACCAAACAGATGTGTACTACAACTTTAATTAAGGGTATAAGACAAGTTATTGTAGTAGAAACTGTGAATGAGTTATTTTCTAAAATTGAAGATCAAAAACCATCACTACAGTTTTCTCTGTAAGTTTAAGAGCTAGATCTATAATATTTTCAAAGTATATGTAAATCACTGAGCTAAACAAGTTTACTTAAGACATTTGGACAGGTTGTCTTAGTAAAATAAATAGTTATAAATGTTTTTAAACAGACAATTATTTTGTTGCTTTTTATGCAATGAATTTGCAGAAAGAGTTGTATTGAATTAAGTAGTTTATTTACAAGTTTTAAATTAGTTGTTATATTTATAATTTAACTAAAAGATTACCTATTTAATATTTTACATTTACATTATTTAAATCAACTAATTTCTTATTTTTGGTTTTAAAATTATTTTATTTTTAAGACAAATCTACTGATGCTCAAAGTCTTGGATCTTTAGAAGATTGGTTTTGACCTTGTAGAGTTTATATCAAACTCCTATACTAACTTACAACATATCTTTAATACTTTAATATCTTTCTTACAGGCCTTATCAAACTTCCAATCCAGATAACTTGGAAGATTTGCGACCTGACCCTGACATACATAACTAACATGTATCTTTTTCCTCAATATTATTTTGATGCTAATTGCATTAGAATCAAATAACTGAGTTATTTGATGATGACGCAATAATTATCAAATAACTCGAGTAATTATATTGGTTTGGTCGTCGTAATTAAAGATTAAGCCCGGGTAAGAGAACAGACCATTCAAAATTGTTCAATTATTCTAACTAGCCAATCAAATTTCGAGTTCAAGTGTAATGTAACACGAATAAACGTTCGTTTTTCTAAACTCAAAATTTTAATCAAAGAAACCACCCTCTGCATGCTAACAAAATATTTCTTCGCAAAATTTTGATATAAAAAACGCTTTAAAGCCCTAACTTAATAACAAATTACAGACCCTAATCTAATAACGTAAATTTTTACTTTGAGAAAATTTTAGGTATCGGGGTAGGATTAGTAGGATGGTTCTCAAGCATGAATAAGATCAAGGAAAGATTGTGGAAGGGTGTAGTAAAGCAATGTTAGAATAAATATATAAAATTCAGCGACGTCAAAATATATTCAATCGATGGTACAGTAAAACCTTCATAAGTGCATGCTCTTGGGACCGAACTTTAACAATGTGCACTTAAGAAAAGGTGCGGTTATGGAGGTAATCTATTTGGATCTGATTTAAGCGTGCATTAGAGAGGTGTGACCTACAGAGGTTTCATTACTTCCATAACTGCAATTTTTCTTATTGTTCTCAAGTGCACATTGTTAAAGTTCGGTCCCAAGAGTGTGCACTTATGAAAGTTTTACTGTACATATTTTATCTTTACTGATACGTATAGTGATAAGACTGCATTAAAATATTAAGAAATCTGGATCTCTTGCAGTGTGGGTAACACTATTCTAAATCAATTGATTAATAATACATTTTATTAGTGGTGTCACTAATACTGCAAGAGATCCAAAAATCTGCATTAAGAATTGACTCAAGTCATTTTTCATTCGGTAAAAATTGAAAATGAAATATGCCAATTAATAATTAACAGAATTTAGAAATAACACATTACATTTTCAATAATTAGTATATTTCATATTTTAGTCGTACAGTGATTTTAATATAAATAAAATCGGTTATATAATAAATTAGTACGCAAATTGGGACGGACATGTCACCCGGTGTGCAACATATAAAAAATAATTTTACAATACCTCTAGTATATGTTATGATTATAATCCCACACCATTTTATTTTAATAAAAGTGGTGTTGTAACATCGACGGTTTCTCCTAAACATAAAAAGGGATTCCTTGTAAAGGATTGGTGTTAGGTCTCCTCTTTCATTTGGCATGAGGATGTGACGAATAATCTGTGGCGAGTAAGCATTTGCTAAATAATTGTAAATCAAACTTTGTTGTGCTATACTAAGTATATACATGAGTACTATCTAGAAACTGCAAGCGGCGACTTCGTTGCCCGCTGCATGTGACATTTCTATAGATTAGAAGTCTAGATTTGCTAAGGAGTTGATTACAAAATAATAAATGGTTTACTGATTGCAAAGTGACGTACGTACTTACGTGAATTATTTTAATTTACAAATACAGATAGATACTGGTCATGAGAAATGCTGAAATGACGCAGAACATATCGATATATACTTCTGTAATTGGTAACCACTTGATAAAATGTTTCCAAACTAGTTTTGCTCTCGACTTTTATGATATTTCTTTAAATGGAAATCTGATTTTGTGTTAACACAATATATCCTAAAATGGTAGTCCAACCATAATCTTCGGAAATAATCAAGTAAAAAAATTGGTTTCGTCAGAAAATCAGGTTAACTATGAATTGCCGTAAATGTCAATGCGTAGTTATACGCATACTGCGTATACAAACTGTCACATACATAGCTACGTATAAATATGCTATACATATAACGAATTTATAACGAATTACATTTTAATGTAATCATAACGATAATAACAATAATGAGGCCTTATCGTTTTTTTGTTCTTGCCTTGTTTACAATATCATTATTTCTATCTATCACAATAATAGATGCTGTACCAAAAGTTGATTTATATAGAAGAGAAATATCCACATCAATTCCAAATAAGAAACGTTTTAAAATGCAACAGGCACGGTTAATCAACAAGTATTCGAAATTATTCAAGCGTAGTTCTCAGGATCCACCTATATCAATACCTCTAGTCAATGAATTTAATATGGATTGTAGCTATTATGGTTTAATAATAATCGGTGGTCAATCTTTTACTGTAGATTTTGACACTGGCTCTAGCGATCTTTGGGTTCCTGCTATTCAATGTAAATTCTCCGAATGCGGTTATCATAATAGATTTGATCCGAAAAAGTCTCCTACTTTTGTCCCTGCTCCTCATCCAAATCATTTTACAATATATTATGGCTATGATTCATCTACCATTCGTGGTTATATAGGTCAAGACTCTGTTAATCTTGGTGGGATATCTGTAATAAATCAAACTTTTGGTTTAGCAATAGTTGATGATTTTAATTTGGTACTTGAAGAAGATGGTATTTTAGGTCTTTCATTCCCTCAACTTAGTACATTTAAAGTTCCTTGTGTTATTCAATCAATGAAGGATCAAAACTTGATTGATCATTCTATAATTGCCTTTCATTTGGGAAGATACAAATTAGATCATAGCGATAAGAGTTTTATGAATCTTGGTGCCATTGATCCAAATGCGTATGTGGGTGAGATTGTATATAATAATATACTTGACAATTTATTAGGATCTTTGGGATACTGGGTAATTATGATGGATGATCTTTATGTTGATAAATTTTCAATGGGTGCTACTAATTCATCTGCTATCATTGACACTGGTAAACTTTATTTATCTTATTTAGTCAGCTTGAATTTTCAACTCTTTTACTGTATTAATTCTTATTTATTATTTTAATTAGGAACTGCTAGTATTTGGGGTGACTCTTCATTTGTTAAGGATATCCATCATAACATCCCCGGTTCTTATTTTGATGGCTATTTATGGTATATTCCATGTGATACAAAAACTGTAGTTTCTCTAGTATTCAATGGTGTAGTATATGAAATCAATCCTATAGAGCTAGTTGTACAGGAAGTAATGGTAGGTCCATTGTGTCAATCTGTCTTTCAGGAAAATCCGAAGGGTTTTCCGAGGAAATTTTGGTTAGTTGGTGCCTTTTTTTTGTCAAACGTTTATAGCGTTTTTGATTTTGATAATCGTCAAATTGGATTTGCTAAAGCTAAAGGTAATTTTATTTTGAATTTTTGAAAGTTTTCTTAAAGTTGCATTATCTCATGTGTCTGTATTCATTTTATAGTCGTTACTAGTTAATCAAATAATGTAAATTTGTAAATTAACTAATATTCTGATCAAATTAAATAATCAAAATTGATTCTTTTTAAATTTGATAATTCGGGTTGGTTGGTTCAAATATTTTTGATAGAATAAAATTTGTAAAATATAAATAAATAATTTTCTTTCAAGTTCTTACAGTAAAGTTTTTCTATATTACTGGTTTATTAAATATTTGTTACTATTACTTTGTAAAGATTAAAATGTTGAAAACATATCATCTAATAATTAACTTGAATTAGCATTGGTATAACTTACTTATATTGATTGTAGGGTGACAAAATAAATTTGCAGCTGGTTAAAATTAAATATTAGGTTGAATAAAAGTCTATGCTAGAAGTAGTACAGTCAACCCTCCATAAATGCATCCCCTTTGAGACTATAAGCAAAAATTTTAAATATGTGCATTTAAAGATCACTATTGTTACTGATTTCTATTTCTAAAATACAAATATATGTTTAATTTAATTTTTAAAATATTGAAATAACTAAAATCTACTTTAAATATTTATCTATTATTTGAGATTAGTCATTATAAGGGAGATTTTATTGATTTATACTTTTTATATAAGTATAATTCTTTATAAATGCAAAATCTCTTAGAATAAAGGTATGATTGTATAATAACAATGCTTACTTTTTTTAAATATTATATATAAATTATATAAAAAGATTTTAGTTTTCTTTAATTACCTTTCTATTCTTGTTTCTTTACTAGTTTTCTCATCCTTTATCAATTTCATTACCTTCTTTTTTAGTTTCACCACCTTTTAGCAGTTTTGTCAGTTTCGCCGGTTTTGCCTAACAACACTAAATTCACATTACAACAACCATATTAAAAAAAAATACTTGTATCTAACAAAATACCGTAAGACTGTCCATAAAGTCATCTGATTTCGCAATAATGACCGCCTTGTCACCCAAAAATTTTAGAATATGTGGTACGTATGGGCCGATTTTTTTGATTTGCTTTTCAAAACAATCTAATTCTGGTCAAATTTGCTGATCATTTGGCCATTGGCTTATTAGTTTTAAACTGATAAGCCAATGACCAAATGTCAAAATTCCAGTAATTACAGAATTACAGTGTGTGTACTTGAGTGTGACATACTGTGTTCCCTGATGATTATGGGAACCAATCATATTGGCCAGTTATATTATAATAAACTTAATTTAAACACAAAATATAAAACGTGGATTTATTTACAAGGACGCACCGTTATATGTTTGACACAATAATTATTATATTTACGAGGTTACAATTAGTTAAAGTTTATATATAATAAGGGCAAAAGGACATTCGTATTCACCAATTTAAATTTTATATTATCTATTTCTTCGTTTATTAACAATGATTAAACAACTAATAAAATACAAATTCATAATATTATTGATTTTTTTGAATTTAATAACGTTATTATTGTTAAGTTTATCTACACAATGGATTACAAATTCAATAAATTATCAAAATCCAAACTTATCTTCAAATAAAATTCAAAATGTTACAAGATTTGTTAATACTCTAATTGGAACTGCTAAAGGTGATTTTCTAACAATTCTAGTCATAGTTATAATGGGATTGCCACTGCACGTCATGCAAACTAAAAATCATGCATGGCTTGTATACGTAGTGACGTTTTATATCACAGGGTTTTTGCATTCGATCCTTTTTTTAAAAATTTGATTTTCTTAGTTGGATTTGATTTTTCATTCGAGTGACGGAATAACCCATATGACAATTTTTAAATAGAACTATTGTTATAATTATTTATTATTATTATTATTATTATTATTTCTGACTGTCTGAATCATGTGCAGATGGACACGTATTTCCTGGCCCATGCCATCCATTTGGTGTCGTTAAATTGGGCTTTGATACTGATGACCTTAATGATTTTCATGCTGGGTAAGAATATCTCATTTATAATAAGAAATTAATTATTTTCGAATGTGATGATAAAACCGGATGATATCGATTGGATCCATTAACTTTATTCTACTTTTTTTTCATTAATAATTCTAACCTCAACTTATAAAACTCAACATTTGGGAGAAAAAATTTTCATATTAACCTAGATCCAAATTTCGATATTGTCCGATTAAGCTTCATATCAGACAATTAATAATAGAATTTGATCGAATTTTTTTTTTTTTTGTCATAATTTACTTTTACAGATACACTACTGGAGGAAATATCACAGGAATTTCTCGTATGCATTATTTATTTTTTCGGATGTCTATAAATTTATATGCTCATTACTTGATCATTAATTACTCAATTATTATTCATAAGATTTGCACGTTAGCGGGACAGGAGGTGAGAGATAGATAAAGTACATAATATTAAATATTATATATTATTATTTTACTTATGATAAATAAAAAAAATAGGTGAAGCAAAATACGGAGTGATAAGCCAATTCCCTGTGATAGATTCACCTAGAGATCCACTTGAACCATATAAAATGACATCTGAACGGTCATTTGAACATTTTGAAGTTGGTTATTCAAAGTTTGGATTAAAACGTTATAATATTACAGTTGAATTAGCGGCTAGTAAAAGAACAGGTCTTCATAGATACACTTTTCCTCCAACCAAACATAAAGCTAAAATTGTTATTGATTTGCCTCATAATCTTATTGTACCTAATTATGCGTATGTTTATTACCGAATAATTTTTTTTTTTATAAAGCTCATAACATAATGGTTAATAATATTAGTTTATAAATTTATTTAGTTTTACTCATAAGTATCTCGGTGGGGCAATACAATCTATCTCACTTAATCAAGTAAAAGGTGCAGCCCGCTATCGCGGAGGTTGGAACCAAGGAGGCCCTTATATAGTTTATTTTTGTTCCCAATTTAACATTAATGCTATAGAATTTGAGACCTGGGCAGACAATAATTTTAATATTCGAAAACAAATTTACTTTGATGGAAAAACCCATTTTGGTAAAATTGATGGTGCTATTTTAACGTTTAATGTTAGAAAAAATCCGGTAATCATATCAAGAGTTGGAATTTCATTTATTTCGGCTGATCAAGCTTGTAATAATGCTGAAAGTGAGATTCCATATTGGGATTTTGAGAAGACTAAACAAGAAACTGTAAATGCTTGGCAAAAAGAATTAGAAAAGATATATGTTGAGGGAGGAACTGATGAATTAAAAACAATTTTTTATAGTGGCTTATACAGAACCATGATTATGCCTAGTGATAGGTGTGTATTTTATATTTTTATTCTTATTATTATTTATATAATAATCTTGCTAAAATTTATGTTAATAATAGAACTGGTGAGAATCCAAAATGGCAATCATTTGATAAAAATGGTAATCTAATACCACATTATGGAGATTTCTACGCTTTGGTATGTTATTTATTATTACTGATAAAAACCGACTGATAAAACCGACTAAGATTAGCTAAATCTTAATTGGCTAAGTTGAATGAAGCTGAAATTCTCTGAAGTTGAAATTAAAACTAAGCAGGAACTGATTAAAACTGAATTAAACCTATTTTAAATTAAATTTTTAAAAATCTTTTTTTTGGAGTCATGTTAAGAGATAAGATAAAAGAATATAAATAGTTTTGAATTTCAACTTCAGTCAATCACAGTTACATCGTGACATTTATTTTGCAAAATCCGAAAATAATAATAATAATAATGCTAATTAAAGTAATTTGATAAAATAGTGGGATACATTTAGGTAAATTTACTAGTTTATAAATTGTATATATATAGATATTGTAATATGACAATAATTTATGAATTTAAATATAGAACGACAAACCCGTTATTTATGCTTTTCCAACAAGAACGATCTGTAGACATTGTTAGATCATTAATTGATATATATCAAAATGAAGGATATATGCCCGATGGAAGAAGTGGATTAGAGAATGGGATTACACAAGGTGGTTCTAATGGTGATATGGTTGTGGTAAGGTTTAAATTACAATTAACTTTTTCCTGAATAACATAAAATCTTACTTTTATTTTATTAACTAATAAATCATAGGTTGAAACATACTTAAAAAAATTAGGCATGGACATAATAGACTGGGAACTTGCTTATGAAGCTTTAATAAAAGATGCAGAAGTTGATCCTTTGGATCGCGGCATATATGAGGGCCGGTTTTTATTAAATGATTATAAAACTTTAGGCTATATACCTATTATAGAAAAGTACATATATTTGTATGCTTATAGCCCTTGCAGTAGAACTATAGAGTATTCTGCCAATGATTATAGCATCAGTCTTATTGCTAAAGGTAAAATAAATTAAAATTGAAGGTTTAATATTCTTGAATAATTTGAATTTTATATATAATTTATTTTTATTTTAAAGAGTTAGATAAATATGATGACTATATTAAATACAAAAAACGAGCAAGAAATTGGGAGAATCTATGGAATCCCAATATAACTTTTAATGGTAAATAAGATTAAATTTTATTTCATGTAGTAAATACATTAGACTTATTAGATTTAAACGTTATTGATAAAAGGTGCGAAAGGATTTATCATGCCAAGATATCAAGATGGTAAATATCATAATAAATTGGATATAGATGGTTCTCATTTTGCATTTTATGAAGCTACTTCATGGGAATATAGTTTGGATATACCATTTGGTATGTACATTTATAAAAGTAATCTACAAGTATTATATTTATTCAAAATATTCTATCAGAGTTATTATTAATTATTCACTATTATTTAAAAATTTAGATGTAAAAAGATTAATTGAATTATCTGGTGGTCCAAAACTCTTTGAGGAACGACTTGACAAAACATTTTCCAATAAAAATTATCAAAATGGATACTATAATATAGGAAATGAACCAGATTTCTTTCATATTTGTTTATATCATTTTATTGGAAAGCAATATAAAAGTGTTGAGGTTATTAGAGATATTTTAAAAACTAAGTTTGGAAGTGGGCAGGATGGAATTCCAGGTATGTCATTAATTAATATAGATAAATAAATAATGAATCAAAGAATAAATCTATTTATTGATTTAATTTTTTTATTGAACAGGAAATGATGATTCAGGTGCGATGGGAAGTTGGTTTGCTTTTAATGCGATAGGATTATATCCACTGTAAGTTATGAATTATCACTTATTATATAGTATTAATATATTTATAATCTTTACGTTAATTGGATAATAATATTTTTCGTATAATAAACAATAGGGCCGGCACGGATATATATCTAATTAACTCACCACATTTTAATAGAATAACAATCAATTTATCGCCACAAATAACATTCACAATTTTGGCTTATAATTTAACTAACGGATCTAATGTAAATCCATATGTTCAAAGCGTAAAGATTAATGGTAAAAATTGGAGAAAAACATGGTTTAGACATTCTAATATTGCAAATGGAGCAATTATGGAATTAGTTATGGGTCCAGAACCAAGTAAAGTTTGGGGAATTATTGGAGGAAATGAAGATAAGATTGATGTAGAATATAGAGTCGTGCCTCCTAGCATGAGTAATACTAATATTAATGACTAAATACATAAATATAGTAGAAACAGCATTGGTATCAATAGAAAAATGGAATTTAAAGCTATTTATTATATGTACAGTAAAATATATTATTATAATATGATTAAGACTAAATATATACATATATACATGTAAAATTTAATAATATCGTAAAATTAATAATAAAATTTTTTTATCATACAAAAAATTTATTCTGGCTTTTCAATATCTCGTAAACTATCTGCTATCGTTGTGAACAAATACGATATGATTATGACCGAGTTTGTTCAAGCCATTTGATAGAAAGATCAGAAGTGTAGAACCGAGCATGACTAATGATATAACGATAAAATCAACAGCAAACAATGTGATTACAATTAAGTTGGGCATATAAGGTTTTGTCAGGAACTTGCTTCATACAATGAAAGACATTAATGTTCAGTCAAAGGTTTTACAAGTCACGAAACTATATCCTTGCGAATCCATAAGTGTCCACGAATGTTAAAGAAAATATGTAACTCGCGACGGTAAAGATCGATTCGAATATAATGAATAAAAATGCGACAATAAAATTATTATCTTTACGCTATTAATAGATTATATTATACGTAATTATTATCAATAGTTTAGTACATTGCTGTAGGTCTCATAATCTGCATTATGAATCGACCTGGGTCATTTCACGATCGGTGAAAATCGAGAAATAACCAATATCAATTCTGAATCGACATAAATCCCTAAACATCATAAATATTTTATTTTTACTGGCAATAAAATAAGTAACAAAAATGTTTCTTATGCATCAAATGAAAATTTGTTACTTTATTCATGAAAATTTGTTAACTAATGTTGAATACTTTTAAAATGTTCTATCCTTACTATGATTCGGGTGGAATAAGAGTTTATGATTCAACTTTCATTATGCAACTGAAAAATAGAAAAATAAAATTTGACAGGAATAGGAATAGACAGAAATGAGCAGGATTCATTAGTATATTAGTAAAGCTTGGAAAATAAGGGTTAGTAACTTAGTCTTTTCTGCGAACCCGACTTTCGTTCTGGTTACTTCGACCCCACCCACCTACCCGTAAGCATTGCGATAATTTAGTGGTCTGGCCTGTCGGGACGGTAGTCAAAGTGAATTAGTAGGGTGGGTGAGTGTCAAAATTGCAAGTTTTAAATTGCGGCCTGTTCGGACGACAGTCGTAATGAAAGAGTGGCCAGTCAAGACGACTGCTATTAATAGTATTTAAAGAGAAATTGAAATAGCCAACCGTGAATACTGCGTAGGTGCTCGAAATTGGGAGAGGCATACCCATATATTGTTCTTCATAGTATAGTTACACGAAAATGAGAGACAAACAAATTTCACACGTTGATATATAGTGCCAGCACTATGAAAAATTTAGCTGTCGTTAAATATCAGGCAAATAGACAAATTAATCTGTATCGGGTTACCAATTTTTTAGTCTAAAATTCTTGCTTTTCTATTGTAATTACATATCCAAAATTGATGAATAAATCATGCGGACCAATCAAACTTTAGATTTTGGGGACAAATCACACTTCAAACAGCATATATTCCATACACATTCGTTCTGATATTAGAAATTAACCTAAATATGTTAATGCATGCCAGATATTATATTAATACTGACCAGATGATATGGTAATGCCGGCTAGATAATTTTATTTTTGAATCATATAAAATCCCGCGTGTGCCCATCTCTCACGAACCTAGCATGACCACCAAGAAGCAAATCCAGTGTTACCAACAATCGAGGGCGCAGTCAGGTAATCTTCTGACCTTTACATAATGTTGTAAGTCATTATACTATCGCATTACCAATTACGTATTCGCTGATAGTTAATTACAAATATACAATACTGTAGTTTATTATACTATTTTATTTTACTATTTTATTGTTATTAATAATAAAGAATTATTTACAATAATGAAAAAATATGGAAAATAAAGGTTCTTTACAAGTTTGTCAAGGTGTCATTGTTCTCAACCACCTGAAGATTTTATTGTTGATGAAAATGATATCCGAACTCGTTGTGTAGTCTGCTGCACTAATACTTCACAAGCTAAAAAGCGAAAGCAAGAAGAAACTAATAATTTCATGGGTGAAAAAGAAAACATTATTAATTTTAACAATGTTGCAGATTATATTTATGATTCACTTTTAGAATATAAAAATCTAAATGATGATCTTGAGAGACAAGTCCATTTTCATCTTCAATTTGACATTGATCTAAATTCTATTTACGAACATATTTCACCAGTTGAAGTTACTACAAAAGATAATCCATATATTTATGTTGCTAATTTGGTAATCAGCGCAATTAGTAATAGAGACAGTTATATATATGTACTTCAAAATATATACAATAGCAAACATTCAGAATTTATTAAGTTAATATACTAATGTAATGCTCATAATGAATTATGTAGACATCAAAAAAAGACTAAAGATGTTTTAAAATAATGTAATGTTGATGCACATATTGAGCAGTATGAATGCAAAGGTCTAGTTACGATTAAAATTTATTCAAAAGATATTGTATCAGTTAATATGATGCATAAGATTTTATATCCACAATTAGAAAAGATCAATGTAACCAAAGAGATTAAACATCACATAAGTTCCTGTATTGGATAAGATGTATCAAGCATTTATCAGTCAATTAAAGACAAATGCATAAATGGATATGAGTTTTTAATGATCAAACAGGTGTATTATTGGTGGTCATCAATTGTAAAAGCTGAATATCAATATTCTAATAATGAACTTGTTTTTATTAAAATCTTTCTTCAAAAACAAAAGCAGAAGATTCTTTTTTTTGAAGATTATGATTTTGCTTTTTTAACTGCCTTTTTCGATATATTACTATTAAATATATTAATGAAGCTTATGATAGATGCTACCTATAATACTAACAGGCAAAAATATAAACTATATGCAGTTATGACGATTGTAGATGGAGCAGGATTCCCTATTTCATACTTATTTATTTTATTAGACAAAAATTATAACATTACAAGTATTATTACAGAGTGGTTTATGGCACTAAAGACATGACACTTGACAAATATACAGATTTTTTATACTGACAATGACTATTCTCAAATAAATGCAACAAAAGCTACATGGTCTGATCTTAAGGTGCAATTATGCTTATGGCACATTAATCATGCAGTAGAGCAAAAATTATCATTATATACTAAAATTCAATCAATATGATATAATACAACTGAAGCACACAAACAGTGTGCAGTTATTGACCCTTTATGCAACCTGTTTTATTTGTATTTAGTGAAATGTATCAAAACAACTCAAAGACAGGTTTTCAACTTGCTAATAAAGATGTTCATGTACATATAAAAAATCTTATGACAAATCATTCTAATCAGTACATATTAATTCCAAAAGAAGACATGATATTTGTAAATGATTGACAAGTAATTTGGCTTGAGTGCGTTACTGAAATATATCAGTATTGCCATAATAATGAGCTAATTTTAGTATAGAGTTATCTTTGATGTGAGTGGTACTCTCCAAGTCAATGGATTCTTTGATCATGATCTTCATTTGAGGAAATTGGCATTTTGCATACAACAATGGTGATTGAGTCACACTGAAGATTTCTAAAAAGAGATTATCTTTACAGATTTAATCATCCTTGTCTGGATCTTTTATGCTTTATAATTATTAAAAAGGTATATATTTTTATATATATATATGTATTATTTGTTAATTTATAAAAATATATGTTTGTTACATTGATATTTAGGTTATTAATCGACAAGTTAATACATTTAAACTACTATGCTACAGATGCCAATTTACTTCATAGTGAAAAGAATTTCAAAAAGAATGGAATTTGTTAGCATCACGTCCTTGTGACTCTAACAAATATTTAACAAATCATACATATTGGATTTGTTCTTGTCCCTATTTTGTGACTAATCAGTTTTTTTTATATAAGCATTTGGTAACTCCAATTAGCTCAAAACCAAATACATTTTTTTATAAAGTATATATTGGTACTGATATTATCAAATAATTATTATATAATTGAATCCTATTTTAAATTAATATATAAACATTAAATTTAGATTCTTCGTAATTCAAGATATTCACTAATTTCAGTATCATTGTGCAACCCCTGGCAAGAAATTCAGTTGGCTTGCAATCTTAAAAAACTTGATAATGATAATTATGATTATCTACCTAATAATAATGATAATGAACTTTCCACTATAAATACTGTACAAGAAATTTATGAAACAAATAATAATGATAATCTTATGAATGAAATTGAACAAAAGCATGTACGGCTATGTCAAGTATTAACTGAGGTAAACTTTTTATTAATTTTATTTATACTTTGAATTTAATTAAATATTAATTAATAAAATAACTTTATTTTTAATTTAGGCACAACGTATTCTTAATGATTCGAAGGCTTTTCATAATCGCTTGAAATTCCTTGAAAATATGGAATCCAAAGTAATGCCAGTGGAAAATTTGGTCAAAGATATTTTGCAGCACGAAAAAAGGCATACACTGCCACGAACGTGGAAGGATAGCAATGAAAATACGCAATATTATGGATAATCTTCCATGTAATTATATAGTACCGATGTACTTTATTTTGCAATAAACATAAAGTTTTATTTTAATTAAGCTTATAAAAAATGCATTTTTTATTGTGCGAAAAATTTTTTGTAATATCCAAATATACATGCTTTTACTTGAAAAAAATAAATTTGTAAAATTCGTCGTTCTGGTCATGTGATATGTCGGAAAATCACCTGACTGCGCCCTCGATTGTTGGTAACGCTGGGACTTTTCCACCAAGGTCAGTTACGTACGGAGTTTCAACGTTGATATGGAGATTTCTGTATGATTAATATGTAAATAATCTAAAAAAAAAGAAACTTTGATCTTCTTTTTTCCATATCTAAATATCAAAGAAAATTTCTTTGCTATACATCAAAAATCAACCAATTTATTTGAAGCCAACGTTAATAAAAATCTGTATTAAACGGTTAAAGGAGGCATAGATTCAGGGAATGCATGGTGTATTTCTTTTTTAATAAGCAGTTTTTTTTTTATTGATCCTCTTGGAAATAGATATTTATTTCTTTGAAGGTATATTTATTTATTATACCCATTAATTAAATTCTAATAGTTTATATTCAATCATTCGATTATTCTCTTACTATGCCAAATAAGATATAATACGTACATTAACACCAATTGATTATTTGAATACGAATTCAACTATTTCTGAATATAATAATACTAGATAGCTGCGCGACGTCATCGCGCAAAACCAGGAACGGAACACTTAAAAAAACAACCAGCGAGTATTAGCTGATTGGCTAGACAAAATCATATGAGAGCTTGTGTATAAGTACTTCACTTTCTTTTTTCATATTAATATGGATTCTTACGACCGCTGTTCACATGATGCAAGACCACTCACAATATACGTAGATATTATTAGGAATTACGTATCGGTATATCATAGTTCTAAATTAAGCAGTTAATTATTCCTGACCTCATGTTCTCGCTAGGTCATTATGCTCAATTAGGAGAAACGTCTAAGCCAGGTTCAGTTAGGATGGGTTTTTCTGATGTAGTTAGGGGTATTATTTATAAATCATTATGTAAACGGACCCTCAATTAGTATCAATGGTTGTACTTCTGCGCCTAACCTGATTGCTTCCTGATATTCTTGCTTAGCTATGTTAGCCTAATGAAATATCATCTGGTAACGCTGCGTTTGGAAATGATAATTGTACCTACCCAAGTTTAATAATATATACAAGTTCAGATCCATGTGACGATGAAATTTAAGTGCATTTGATGCATTATCCAATCATTTACGAGCTTTTGCCGTATAACCATACACTACGTGATTTCATCACTCCGTTCCTTGTATAGTTGAAGCGAACGGGGGCTGAAGCGAACGGGGCAGATGCTAATACTAGAAATTGCAGAAAATTATAAAAAAAACCTTTACTGTACAAGTGCGAAATAACGCCCACCTGCGCGTTATTACGAGTACGCGCATGCGCGTTATTTCGAAACAAGAATTAAATTTGCACAATAACTATAATAAATAGTATTTATTTATAATAAGAATAAAAAGGTGTTCCAGAATTGGATTTGATATGAAGTAAACTTATTTTTTGACATTAGTAGAAGTTGTTCTTCAGGTCGAGACGATTCTAATGGTAGTAAAATAATCAAAAAAACAGTCCAGTAGTTCACCCGCAATACCTTCTTCAAAGTTTTGCAAAGTTTGTTTACTTTTGTTTATTTTTGTTTATATAATCTGTAAACAAACGTTGCAAAAGTTTGAAGAGATATTGCGGGTAAACTACTGGACCGTTTTAAGCCAAAAAATAGATTCACTTAATATCAAACCAGTTGCACTTTTTACTCATTCATCTTTTTTTTTATTTATTATAAAGATGTGCATTAATTCGGGATGCTCATGGGTGTTAATTTGAAGCCACTTATACTATTTTAAAGGTATCTGATTTTTGAATTAACGCCCCTGGGCATTATTTCACGCTTATACAGTATGATGTATGCACATAATCTTGAAAAGTTTTTGATCATAATAAAAAAAAACTTTATATTTAAAAAATATTGATCCAAAAAATAATAAATGTTAAAAAATCAGAAAACATGAAATAGGAGAAATAAAGTACATTTTACTGTCTAAATAAAGAATTATTTTGAATAATTTTTTTATATTAAGAAATCAAAGTTGTTTAAAATATTTCTGTAATAATAAATACTTTCAATTCTATCAATAGAATAGAATATTATTAACTTGGAATTTTGATAAAATTTAGAATTTTTTATTGAATTATTTTTTATTTTGCAATATTAAAATCATCAAAATTTAGTAATCAAACATTTAAATTCAGATTATGTAACTGATATTGGTGGTCATTCTAGAGCTATTTTCATTTCTAGAAATAGCTAACATATTTATTTTTAAACAGTTGATGTACTAACTTTATTTTATTTTTGGTAAATTGAAAATAATAGTTTTTGTTATTGAAGAGTTTATTTATTTCATTAAATAGTTGTTTCTAAACTAAAGATAAACAGAGTAATTACTTATTATATAACAAATTAAATTGACAATTTACTACTTATAACTAATTACATGCTTTATTTGTATATTAAAAGTTCAAGTTTGAAATTAGAAGATAATTATTTATTGTATAAAAAGTTATGCAATAATTTAGAATTTTCATTTCTAATTTATTTTTAAAATAAGTTTTTTTTAATTAATGATTGAAGTTTCACATAATGAGTAATAAAATTGTTCAAATATTTATTAAATACAAATTTGTTTTTATAAATTAAATTTATTTTTGTAAAATTTATATTTATATCTATAACTGATTATATAACTGAATAAATGCTAACTAGCCAAAAATATTAAAAATAAATTTAATAAAAGAATTCAAAGTCTTCAAAATACATTGTAAGTATAGTCAACTCTTGCTAAACTGAACCTATATATACCAAACCCTGGTTATTTCAAACAAAAAAGATAAGAACATTTAATTTATAAATAATTACACTGATTATACTAAACAATTATAATAAAATCTAATAAACCAGATCCAAACATAATATAGGCAATACATTTGATCTAATTTATAAATAAAATTTTTTTATATACCACATTTACTTAGTGCGAATGCAAAATGCATTTAATATTCCTTTTAGAGATTAGGAAAAGATTTTTCTTTTTTCATGATATTGTAATGCAAAAAAGCTTATTTATTTATTTATTTTTGACATATTTCACATTAAATTTTATTCTAATTAAATTATATGATAACATACTTAAATTATAAAATAGTAAAATAGCATACTTATCTGTTATTTGATGGGAAATTATCTAATAATATAACTTAATACTGTAGTATAGATTCTTTACAATCAAATTCAATATTTTAATTAAAATTCACAAGCCTTAAAGCTCTTTAATAATTACTGTTTGTTAGTTAACCTGCATTACTATCAATCTATCTCTTTCTAAAAAACATGTGAATACATATGTATATATGTCCAAGTGTGCATAAATTTGTGTAAAATATAATCATATATAGACTACATGCATATTTCTTAAAATTTTTGCATAAATTAAATAATTAGTTTATTTGAAATCTTACATATATATACTTTTTTTTTCCCATTCATTATCTTATTTTAATACTGTAATCTTGATTAAACATACCTTTAATAAGAAAATACTCATTTTTAAAGGCTATGCATGCGAATAAAAGTGAGTTAACATATCTCTATTAATCCTATTCAGAATAACACAACAGTTATAACAAATGGATTAGGTTTAATATCTTACTAGCATACAGTACATCTTGAAAATTATTCACTTTACATAATATTGGAAAACTTTTCATTTAAAAATCCTAACATTTCTGAAAAGTATCCCAGTATTAAATAAAGTAGTTTAAATTAATGAACCTATTATACATATGATTAATTCACATAATTAATATAGCACTCTCTTCAGTATACCCTATATAGGATCTATCTTTTATATAATAATCCCAAAGATATTATATAGACTAAAGGTACTGTATGCAGTGCTATATTATTAAAAAAGAAGTTAGTGCATAAATTGATTTAAAATTTTTTTTTTTAAAAAAGAACAAGTTACTTATCATTTAATCTGTTATTAATCAGATGTAACTCGCAGGTAGACATGCCACAAAGAACTTTACAAGAAACGATAACTGTATAAAAACAGCAAGTTGCTAAAAAATACATGCTTGATAAAATTAGAAAAGGTGTGTATTAGTACTTAATCAGAATGCATTTAGTAGTTAAAAAAGAATAAAATAACTTAAACATTTTTTATCTTATACAAACATATAAGAACAAAAAGAACTTAACCAAAATTTTATTATTACTCTATATCAGGAATATCTAAGTTAAAATCATCCAAAATAATTTTATGTAATATTTTTTTTTGAATCGTTAGATCTTTTAAAAATAATATCTTTTTAATAAAGAAAAATAATCTCACACACCTTTTAATAATAAAAAGAACAAAGCTTTCTGTGATTTTAAATTTTTTAAAAATTATAAATTATTATTTTTCTTCATATTTATCTAGACTATATATCTAAAAAATAAAAGTTTATATATTATTGCTTTAATATTGTGCATTATGTCAATTTGTTAACATATTAGTCTTATTGCTATACAAAAGCATAGCCTTTGTGAACAAAAAGAACAAAACCTACACCTTATCAATAATAAACTAGCAAAATTTTATCAGATTGGCAGATCAACTGTATCTGATATCTTAAAAGAAAAAATGTGATGGCTTTCTATTTTAGGTGTTAAACTAGAAAAAAAAAGTTTCATAGACCAAAATAGTTAAAATTAGAAGATATACTTGGTCTATGTGTTGATAATGTACTTGCAAGTAGCCAGAATATTGATGGTAACATTCTTAAAGTGAAGGCAGTATTTTTTGCAGAAAAGTTAAATATTGATAACTTTAAACAATTTGAAGGTTGGTTAAGTGGCTTTAAAAAAAGATGTGGTCTTCATTCATTTAAAAAATATAGAGAATCTGCTAGTGCCCACTCTGAAGAATTACTGGCTAATAATCATATTAAATTACAAGAACTTCTTCATATCTATGCACTTAAAGATATTTGGAACAGAGATGAGACTGGTCTTTTTTGGAAAATAGAACCTTTACAAGTATTAGCATATTACCAATTGCTGGTCATAAAAAAGAAAAAGCCAGAGTTACAATTTTTTTGCTGTAAATGCTGCTAGAACTGAAAAAATAAAACTTACTTTTATTTATCAATATAAAACACCATACACAATAAAAAACTTGAATTATAATAATCTTCCTGTTTATTATTTCTGAAATAAAAAAGCATAGATGCAGGTTAGTATTTTTAACAACATTCTTTTTAAACTAATCACCAAAATGAAAAGACAAAATCGAAACATTATCTTATTGGTCAACAATACCATGGTACATATTGTTTTTAATGAAACGCAGAAGAAACTTAGTAATGTAAAAGTTAAATTTTTGTCTAAAAATACTACAGCATTTTTTCAACTATGTGATGCTAGGATCATTAATTCATTCAAATGCAAGTATAAGCAGCTTTTTGTTCAAAATCGAATAAATGCATATGATAATTTGCAAGATGGTATAGTAAAAGAGCTTTCAGATTATAATATCTATCATATACTAATTAATGCTGCAGAGACATGGTCAATGGTATTGTCTGAAACAATCATTAATTGTTAGAAAAAAACTGGTATTCTTCCAATTCAAAAAGCAAAAATGCAAGAAATTAATTATGAATACAATGAAGAATTTTTTAGAGATGAAGATGAACTTGAAATTTTGATTAATCAGTTACCTGAAAATGTTTATTTAAGTGCCTCTAAATACATTTGTATTGAAGATACAGTTGCTGTGAGAAGTCTTACAGATGATGATATATTGGAAATAGTAGCTAATAATGCTAAGAATGAAGTTGAGCAACCTATTAGTGAGATAAAAGAAAAGGTAAATTATACTAAAGCAGAGATAGCAGTTGACACAGTTTTGAGATTCTTATATAAACAAGAAGAAAAGTTTGGCAAAGTTGAAGAAGAGACAAAAATTTTAAGAAAATTATATAGAAAAGTTAGATTATTCTGTGTAAAAAATCTTAAGCAATTAGATCTTTATTATTTTATATCTGAATAAATTGAATATATCACATAAGTATACTATAGGCAAATTCAAAATTTTGTAACACTTATACGTACAAACTTACTAAAAGTTTCTTGTAATTTCTAAAAAACATATATGAATATAGTAAAGCTTAACAAATATTAGTAATAAAAGAATTATAAAATATAAACTATAAATTATACTATTATTTTTTTTTCACAAGTAGTTGTTTAAAGGAACTATAAATTTTATTAAATTAATATTCAAATATGCTAACATAACATATAAATTAAAGTTAGCTTATTTTTTTTAACAATAAATGTAAAAGAAATATGATAACATTTTATAAAAACTATATATCTTTTAATAATTTTGGCTTAAAAGGAAAAGCATTAGAGGTAACAATTTCAAATAAAGCTAGATCAAAGTAAAAAATTTAGTGCTCTGCAAGAATGCTAACTTTAAATATTAATGAAATCAGCTTGAGAATAAGAGAAAAAGGCTTCAACAAAGATTAAAAAGTGTGAAACGTATATCGAAAATATGTCATATGTCTAGCATATGATTGGCTAATTTTATATACTAAACGTTCAATATAAAAAGAGAAATATGTATTCCAGATTCACTTTATATCAAACAAAATTTGCTAGAATGGCTTGTTCAGTTTAGAGAGAAGCAACTGTAATTTAAATAAGTAATTTGAATTGAAATAATAATATGTTTCTAGAAAATTAGCAGATATAATTGTATTAAATATTATTGTAACAGTAAAATAAGCAAAAAGTAGCATTAGTCAATAGTTTTTTATTTGCTTAAAGCAGACTGGCTGCTAAATAAAAAAATATCAAAATTAAAAAACTATTATTTATATCAGAATAGATTAAAAAAATTTGTTTGTTCAAAGTTATTGTGTTAAAGAAATAAAGAGTATCAAAAGTGCTTCTTCTTGTTAGTTTTTTATATATTAGTGGCTTGTAATTATATATCTATGCTTCTTAATTTTTTTATTTAATAATATATGTATTTAATATTGATTAATTTTTTGATCTTAATTTATATTTTGCATTATAATTGAACAGATGCAGAAGTTGTAATGCATAGTATATAACCTCTAATTATTAAAATTTTTTTTAACTTGTTAACCTTTATCATTAGTTTAATATTAGTTTATTATGCAATATATATAAAATTTCTAAATTATCAAAATATTTTAAACACTTATATAATTTAAACTAATGTTAAAACATATAATAATTCAAATACTAATTAATTATTAAATTAAAAACTATAAAAAAATAGGTTTTTTCTCTTCTAAAAAACTGTTTTTTAAGTTTTTTACATATATAAAAGTTTTTTATATTTTAATTTTTCTTTAATAAAATAATATTTTATTTATTTTTGATTTAATATTATTAATAAAACTATTTTTTATTTTGTTTTTTAATATATTTTATCTTTATTTATTATATTTTTTTTTCTTTCTTAAAATATTATAAAATAAAAAATCTAGTTTTTTTAAATAATTATTTGACAAATACTAACTTTATATTAAGATTATATATAATTATAAATAATCTAATTATTAAGACTTTTCTTATTACTGCAATTCCTACAATATAATAATATCTATAATCTAGCAGATTATACAAATACCTTTTTTTATATCTAGTATAGTTGTAGATACTATAGTACTATTGACTATATTTGGGCCTACCTTTCTTTACTCAAATATCTTAATTTATTTTACTTGAATAATGCAAAAAACTGCACCCAAAGTGATTACAAAATTCTTATATTCTCTTAAACATTTTCTTATGCCCTTATAGACAAACCAGACATTTAACTAGAACTAAATACAGAACTTTTAATTACAAAGCAATGAACAAAGAGTAATGGAAAATCTTTGCTAACCAAGTTTCTTTTAACCTTATTACAAACAAAACACCTCTTTCTACTCAAACTTCTGAATCTCTTAAAACTATCTGGTATAAAATCCAAACTAGTATTATTAATGCTACTACTAAATGCATTCCTAACAAAAAATCAATAATTCACAACTTTCAACACTTATTTTCAGCTAAAGCTACTTTACTTCATCTTAATCTTAAAAAACTCAATAACATTATTAGATAAGTTAAAGTTTTCTTAACTAACTCATTACCTATACCTATACATCTCAATTCACTATATACTATCTTAATTTAATATATCATCTTAATATATCTCTTATATCTAATTTTTAGAGCTTATATCAAGTTAGATTACTAATACTAATACTGAATAACAAGCTTTTTACCATACCTAAAATATAGAAAACATTAAACAAATCTAAGAACAAATAAATTAATGTATTAATCTTAGATGCTCTAAACTTCAAACTAATTCCAAACTTATGATTAACAATATACTCAACTGTCACAAGAATCCAATAAAATTTAATAATATAAAAACATCAAATAATACAATTATAGATTCCAAACTAATTAAAGAACATATTCAACATTATTTTAATAACTGGACTGTCTACAGACCTATTAATAATTATAAATTTAATACTAACTGGTCAGAGAAATATGAACCAAAAGTTATTACTAGTTAGACTATTATAATTCAACCTTGGCTGAATTTTCACTTAATGAAATTACTAGAACTCTTAACCAACTTCCTAATTACAAAGCATGTAGACTATCTGAAATTAGCTATAAAATACTTAAACAGGCTGGTTTTACCTTTTTTCAAGCAATAGTTGCTCTTTTTAATTGATGCATCCAAACTTCTCATATACCTAAGTAATAGAAAGAAGATCACATCTTTCCAATATCTAAAAAATCTATCTTTGATGAAAACTTTTCTAATACAAAACCTATCAGCCTTGTCATACATATTAAAAAACTATATACAAAACTTCTTACTAATTGTCTTAATTTAATATTTATACAATATTCTATTCTATCTCTTTACAACTATATTGCTTTACCTGACAATAGCACATTTATCTCCATATATATAATTAACAATATTATCGAAGATGTTAGTTGCAATAATAAACAATTATAGCTTCTGTCTCAGAACATAAGCAAAGCATATAATCTGTTAATTTAGAACTTTTTATAAAGTCTCTTAAATAGATATTAATACTTCAAACCCTTATTAATATACTTACTAACCTTCTTACTGATAGCCAAAACTAAGTTATATCTAATCTTAGTCTTACTAACTTTTATTCAATTAAAAATAGTATAGATTAAGGAGAAACTATAACTTTATTATTCTAAAGAATCTATTATAATCTTTTAATTTATAAAATTGTCTCACAATTTTCAAGTTATTCTTTATCTATATCTTGAAAAACCAACTTATACTTATCTTAAACCTAAACTTTAAAAACATCTGTATTATTTCTAGCTTATATAAATAACACTTTCTAAATTGCAAAGTCCAAAGAAAAGCTTAATCTAATAACTAAAACTGCTATATTCTTTTATCAAATAGCCAATATCCAGATTAATTCAACAAAGTTTATTACTTTAATAATTTTTTTTTTTTTTATATAGTTAAAGTCCCTATCTTGAGGATGCAATGTTTTTATTCAAGTACATTAAAAACACCAGAGGCTCACCTTACATTAGAGGTTACAACTAGCCATATGTGCACTTTTGGTGCCTAATTTAAGTAGTCTGCTTACACAT